TTCCAGTTTAACCAGATGCCTAATAGTTCACTCCAACCGATAGGGTTCGAAGGAATGGGACAAACCAAGGAAAGTCATTGTTTATATTATGTTTGGCTCCACTGGAAAAAGTCAATATGTTCAAATTTGGTTATTGTGATCCAGAGAAGTTAGGTAATCCCTGGTTTGACAGAAATGGCCCAATGTATTAGATTGTTATCATCTATGAAGGAGGGATTGTCTGATCACCAGTGCTTGTGACCTTGCTCCCCACTCCCCATGTAATTGGATTCCCTTCTCTGTTGCAGGGAGGATAAGAGTAACAAGGGGGTTCTCCCCTTTATGTGCTCAGATGGCGATTTACACAGGTGAGAGACATTCATAAAGAAGGTCTACAGGACAGTCTATGACCACATGAATCCAGATTGTGGCAAAAGCCACTGTACCTCTGCCACCAGCCTTCCATTTAGGTTGTTTCCTAGGGAGGTTCCTGAATCACTTTAAGAAATTCACTCCAACGGCCGCAGGGGCCTTACCATTCTGTCCCATTAAAACCCCCCCCCCCCCCCCCCCAATTCCCACCCCCCCCCCCCCGAAGGTCAAAGATTTAGTTAGTTTTTAAAAAGCTTGGATTATTTTTCCTCCAAGCCGCAGCCCCGAGATAAAGGGCAAGGAAGATGACCCATATAGAAAGTTCCTTGGGAGGCGGGGACGGGGGTGGGGGGGCGCTGCAGGTAATGGCTGTGGCTTTGCTGCGCTCGCCTCTCCTCCGCGACGCCTGCAGCGCGGAGTCCGGAGCCCGCATCTTTCCCTCCCCTTCTGGCAGCCCAGGTTCCCTTAAAGGGACAGATTTTCCCGGCCGGGGTCGCCACCGGCGGGCGGGGGGGGGGGGGTGCTGTTTGGCTCGCGTCTGACCTCCTCCCCTCAACCCCCGCCGCAGCCCCCGCTCCCGCCGCCCCTCTTTCTGGAAACGCGAAGTGCGTGCGCTTCCTCTCCTGCCCCCAAGAGGGACCTGGCTGGAAAATGCGGAGTCCGCGCCTCTTGGGATATGAACGGGGCGTGGGGAGGGGGCAGGGTTAGGGGGAATTCGCGCTGAAAGGGCGGTGGAGCCCCCAAAACGTCCGGCACGAGGGAAGCGGACGTGTGGAGGGCGCGCGAGGAGCCCCTCACCTGGGCGCGCGCCCCGCAACTTGCTAGCTCTGGCGGGTCGGCAGCGTCTGCCTTTGTGCTTTCGAGCACTTGCTCTGTCGCGGAAACGGTTTTCCGGTATCCAAATGTGTTCGCCGTGGCTGCGGTGCGGGGTCGACTGGGCGGAAGCCAGCGAAGTTAGCAAAGTTGCAATGGGGCCGTGGAGAGCGGCACGCAGGAGCTGGCGCGTGTGCCCCGGGGCCCCGGCTTCCCCGCCGATAGGTGCCCCGCGGCAGGCAGAAGTGAGCTGGTCCAAATGCTGCAGTACCTTTGAGATCCCGGCACTGGCTGCCCAGGCAACGCTCTGACTACGGGGTGTGCATGTGTGTATCCTTGGCGGTGATGGGAGAGACATAACAGTTTAACATACTCATTCTTTAAGAAACGTTTGCCTTCTGTTTTCAATCAGCTAAGCTGGCAGCTAGAGATACAAGTTTATTTGAGAATACCCTCTGGGTACTAAGCATGCTTGGATTGTTTTAGCAAATTAAAAATGAGCAAAATGCTTTTACCTTCTCAGCAGTCGACTCCTTAAGAGACCTCCTGTTTTGTGTGTGTGTGTGTGTGTGTGTGTTTAGAAAACCGTTTTCTGTGTCTCTTTCAAACGTGTTTTTAATGTGGAAGGGGGAGAAAATAAAGGATTTTTAAAGGCTGGAGCAGCTGCCGTAGAGTGATTCATTAAATCTGCTTCTACATCAGAGAATTCACCTGCATGTGTGTGAGTTTGTGGAAACTAACAGCAAGCCTCCGTGGTGAATCTGAAATCTCAGAGGGTTCATTTGTCTCCTGGATAATGGGCAATGTGCTGGTGTATTCCTCGTGTTTATGTTTGTGTGGCACTGGGCTTCCTATGAAGGGCTGGTGTTTAGGAGGCTGCACACTGACTCCAACGGTTTGACTCCGGGGTCTCGCTGCTGCCTGAATGCAAAGAATTCTGAGCGATCGTTATGATGACCCTGGGTTCAGTGTTTACTCATTAGGTTGCAAAGGTGACCATGGAACTTCGAAACTTCACCACTTCGTTGGGCTAGGCTTCCCCTTGAAAGAAGAAAGTAACTAATGGGGCAAAGATGTTGTACATGTGCTGGGGGAAATTTACAAATGAACTGAGCATGAATCAATGATAGTTGGCAAAACCCTCCCTTCACAGTGCGCGGAAATGACTGCAGAGATGTTGCTGTATTAACTGTGCCGGAAGCACAAGTTAAAGTTCTCTAACACACACTAGAGGTCTCTCTTCTAGCTGTTAAGATGTTCATGTGTGTAATTCTTGGCCAGAGCTTACATAGTAGGGGTGCACAATAATGACTTGGTTCATACTTGCTTAAGTAATGGTGATTTAGGGGCCACTCAGCTGACTCTGATGTGAGATTTTTAGTTGGGGACAGAGTATTCAATAATTATTACACAAATTATACCACCTAAGTGCTAGGACAGTAACTGCAGTAAGACTTCTACGAGATGATGAAACCGTATTATTCAATTTGTACTTGGTAATGCAATATGGGCTTTATGGCATCAAATTATTTCTCAGAGCAATTTATTTTTATGTGTAAGAGTAATTAGTGGAGACATATCAGAACTTTGTGAAATTAAACTTTTATTTAGCTCCACGTTTAGCAATAACAGTTACTTGCACAAATGCTTTCTTGTTTCTAAAATCAGACTGTTTTGTAATTCTGAGATACAATGTTTCCTGCTGAGACTTTTTCTCCCATTTGCATTACTTCTTGAGTAGTTCAAAGGACTGAATTTTTAACTCTCCAAACTAATGGAGCATCTTCCTCCACCTTCATGTTAAGCCATCTTGGGATTAAAATGAAATTTTTGGATGCGAGTACATGTTCTTATTTTAATAGCTTACTTGTGCAGAAGTGAGAAACAACTCAGTTTTCCTGGGCACTGTAATAGCACCCTGGCTTTTGATTCATAGAAATGTACTAGATGGAAATGATGCTTTGCTTGTGGATGAGTTTGGCTTGAGATAACTGTGCAGAAAGCAAAACAGAGATTTTCCTTTAGGAATAATGTGCTTCTAGTCATTCACTCATTTGTTCATTCACCAAAATATTTATTTGTGCCTCTGAATGCAATACACTGTTTAGATGCCTGAGACACAAGGGTGAGAAAAAGCATTCAGTCTCCCATTGCCCAGAGTTTATGACTCAGACAGATACACATTGAACAATGGACAGATTCGTGCTTTAAAGGGAAAAGGCCATGGGGGCTGTGATAATGTTAACCAAAGAGGGGGGAAAATGACTAAGACTGAGGTCAGAATTCCAGTGCTGCAAACTGAGATCTGCGAAGCAGGTGCAAGAGAAACAGGACTGAGGTGAAGTTCCAGGAAGAGAACAGCATTTGCGGAGCTAGGAGAGACTTAGCAAAGTGGGAACGGGCAGTAGTGGGAATGCAGGCTGCAGGGCCAGGCACCTGGTCTTAACTCTTCAGGGCTAGGTGGGGAGGGTTGGGAGAGGGACAGCAGTGACACCTGCTCTGGTGATACATGCTCTGAAAGGACAGCATGGGCTGCCCTCTGGGTCGTGATTAGAGGGACCCAACATGGAAGGCGTAGCCTGGACGGGCTGTTGCAGTCATCCAGGCAAGCAACGGTACAGTGCAGTGGCAGGTGAAAGTGTGCTCTGGGAGGGAAAATTTAAGAGAACCTACTGAAGGGTTGGCTCTGGGTGAACAAGAGCAGAGGAAGGCCAAGAAGGCACCTGGGTTTCAGATGTGTGAGTCAAACCATGGAATTCTGAAGACCGGTTTTGTACTTCCCAGTTCATTTCTAGCAGCCAGAAAAGGTAGCAGTGATGAGCCTCTGCTCCAATGTAACTGCACTCACAGAGGAAGCCGAGCATCTGGCCATCCTTGAATCGCTCCACTTGTTCATCCCATGGAAGGCCTCCATGTATCAGTCCTGGGCTGCTTGCCCTCTCGTCCTGTTAGCCAGGATCCTTTTCCCTCTAGCCACTGCATCCCGAGCTTCTGTTTACCCAACCTCAGCTAAGCCAGAATTCATCACTGCGAGAGACCCATGTTTAATCCCTGACACAAAATCAAGTCTGTGCCTTATGCAACATAATTGAGTTAACAAATGTGTTAAATATTATAAGAGTTAACTGTTCAACCTTGCTTTTAAAAAGTCCTTTATGTGCAAATAACACTGGAAAAGCTTCTAAGGACCTAAATGGTCCATAGACTTAAGAGTTTTGGTGTTTTGGTGCATTTTCTCTCAAGTGTCTCTGACTCCATGTGCAGTTCCTTAGCTAACTTTGAGTGCAACATTTTCATACTTAAGGACGCATTGTTTTTTGGTATTTCTATCTCATCTGTTCTTTCCATTTGTTTTTATATTCTCGCAGACTTGTTCCTTCGTGTCAGGCTTGGAGGAAACAGTTTTGTCTGATGTGTAATTCACCACCAAAATCACCTTAGCTGATGGGCCGTTGATTTTAAAATAAAATTCAGGTTCTCTTACCAGGAAGGGAATTTCAGCAAAAGAAATCAGCCACGAATGCTTTGGGATAGTGTGTCCCTTGCGATGGCACTGCTTCCTGGGAACTCCAGTGTGGATCTCCTTCTAGGAAATTCGGGTTTCAGTTGTTTCCTGGAACCAGAGTCTCACTTTCTGCATGGGGGCTTGATAGACAAATGAATTCCATTCAGATACTTTCTTCATAGTTTTCATGTGGGTGGCCCCAAAGGCAAGCTCTGATTGAAAAAC